CGTTCTCTTGTTATTTATTCCACATAGGTTATCAGCCGTAGTTTCTTAGTGGTTTCTGGGCCTTGAGTGTAGGTAAAGTTTGTTTGAAGTGTAAGACCTTCGGTAAGAGCTGCGCCATGGATACTGTCTCGCGTAGAAGACGTGTGGCAGGGGGTAGCGATTCGGAGGCAACGGCGGCCGCCCGTGAAAGTGAGTTTACAGCAGCCTTGGGCCAAGCTGGAAGCGATGGGTTGGAAGCAGTGGGTTTCCAAGGAGGAGATGCCTCCCCAGGAACGTTAGAGTCTGGAGGAGCTCCGGGCTTGACGGGCACTGGACCCCTTCCGGTGGCAAACCCTTTCCATTCGGAAAGGGTAAGAACAGAAGTGGAACTTATTCGTCATCGCCCAGCGACTCTGGACGAGGATGGATCCCGAATAAGGTTTGAAGGAAACGAAGAGGAACTGGGAGATACGACCTGGACTGGAGGCCACGGCGAGCCAGACTACGGAGCACAGGTGCGCGGAGCAGAGGAGCAACCGCGAGTTGCCCGTGTCGAGGCTGTTCCAGCTGGGTCATTACCTCAGGAGTTTGGCATAGGGTTGGAGACGAGAGTGACCGGCCCTGAGGAAGCTGAAGAAGGTGCAGGAGGTTTGGCACCTGGCTTTCAGAAAACAGCAGTGAGACAAGCGGTTCGGACGGAGCCTGAATTGGCTATGTCAGAAGACACAAGGGAATTGATCCCGGCGTTAGCCGACCCCGGTGATCGTCTGGCCCGAGTTGAGAGGATGCTGGGGCAAATGATACAGGAGAACCAAGCCCTTCGTCAACAGATCAAATCGGAGTCCCAGTCGAGCTTCCACAGTGCAAGGACGCCGGGCGACTTCCCTTCCTCGCCAGTCTCTTTTGGCTATGGGCCCCACTACTCTGAGGCTATGCCGCCGCAGTTTTTCGGTGTACATACAGTAGAGCAGTGCATGCCTCGAGATTTCCCGGGTTCCTTTGGAAGGATGAGGGACTTTAGTATGGGGTATGAGGGCTTCCCAGGTGCGCAGCAATCCCTAGGAAGAGCCAGGCCTCAACAAGCTTCCACTGCTATGAACCAAGGGAGTTCAACCGGGTTTGTAGATTATGGTGAAGGGGTGATGGAGTTTGGTAGGGGTTTGTTCCCTGAGCCCAAGCCGTTGCCTCCCCCTGAGTCTGCGTTAGTAAGAAGCCCTCCTCAAGTATCTACTCGGCCTCAAACCATGAAGGAGTTCACTACTGCTGTAGGAATACAGAGTTTAGGGGTTGAGGTTTCGGGGGAAGACGGGAATGCAGGTTACCATACCCCTCGTTCAGGTATGGGAGTGTCGATGAGGTTTGATGCTGAGGGTTATCCTTTGTCTCCGGGGGGTACAAGCATTAGGCCTCCTGCAATCCCGCCTCCGGATGCAACATCGTCACGGGGCCCGTCCTGGAGTCCGGCCTCATTTGGACTTCAAGGTGCGCCAGGGGTACCACCAGTTCCGGGGGTCAGGTTTAGTTCGGGAATAGTGGATAAACCGGAAGAGCCCGCCCGTTATGTGGACTCAATCCCCAAGCTAACCCTAGCGGACCTCTCGGTTTCGGCGGTGACCTGTGGTAATTGGCTAGCCCAGGTTCGACAGATTTTTGTTGGGTTATCGCCAGGGGCAGTTGAGTGGTACGGGAGTGTGGAGGAGGCAGCTTACGGGGCTTACCAGAGGTGGTTGGTTGCGGATCCTTTAGGGAGGTTGTCGGTTGATCCTAGCTCGGTAGTTGCGGGGTTCGATTCTTACCGCTTTCAGCGTGTGGAGTCTAGGGCAGTTACCCTACTGTTGGCAGCCCTTCCGGCTACGGTTAAGGATGATTTGGTTATGAATAGGTGGCTGAGCTCGGCATCTATTCTGTTCAGGGTGCTGTGTGTTTGGCAACCCGGGGGGAGTAGTGAAAGAGCCCATCTACTCTCCCAACTTGTCCAGCCAGAGCCCGGTAAGACCTTTAAAGACTCTCTCCCTACCTTGCGTCGTTGGCAGCAGAACTTGCAAAGAGCAAGGGAAATTCAGGCGACACTGCCTGATCCTTCTCTGCTCTTACGGGGCGTGGATCAAGCGACGGCCGGGGTGTTGGTTTCGGCTCCTATGGTGGCGTTTAGGGTAAACGCGTTTCGGCATAGGTCGGGTTTGGACTATAACCCTACGGTAGCTGGGATTGTGCAACTTGTCAGATTGATCCAAGCTGAGTTTGAAGCGGCATCGTTAGTTGCGGATGCTACCGCGGAAAAGCGTCCGCGCACAGCAGCGGCTTCGACTCCCAATCCGAAGTCCGAGCCACCTTTGCCTCCGAATGCAAAGAGTGAGCCGTCACCGTCGGTTGCTAAGGTGCAGCCGGGAGAAGGGGATGGAAAGGGAGCTAAGGGTAAAGGAAAGGGGAAGGTAGATGCGTCCACATTGCCTTGTCATAAGTTCTCGGACTCGTCGGGGTGTAGGTTTGGTGATAGCTGTATGTTTAAGCATGATCGGGCGAAGGCCCGGAAAGAGGGACGCTGTTTGGCTTGCGGCCAATCAGGACACTTTCGGCCGGATTGTCCGATCGTGCCTCCTGAACACCGAGTCGTTGTGGAAGGGGGGACCGAGGGATCCCCGACATCCGGCGCAAGTCCGAAGGCAGCAGCGAAGCCTAAGCTTAGGCCGAAGCCTGGGGCCCAGGCTAAGGGTATCACTGAGGAGACTACTAAGCCGGATGCTGGTGGAGCTCAAGTTAACCCTGGGAATGCGGGAGCGACATCGCCGTCGGGAGCTGAGGCGCTAGTGGCAGAGGCAACAAAGCTCCTGAAGGGCGTAGCTTTGCGTCCTCTTCGGGTTGAGGATGTTGATTTGTCGTGGGTTAGAAGTGCTTTAACCTGCGCCTCGGATCCAAACTATTGCTTGGTAGATAGTGGTGCGACCAATGCCTTAAGACCTGCCAGCTCTGATGAATTGGCGAAGTGCCGGATCATTAGGGTGGATCTTGCGTCCGGTGGGACGGAGCTAAGAATCAATGAGCAGGGGACGTTGCTTCACGTTGGGGAGTGTCAGGTTATCTTGCCAGCTAATTACCTTGTTGAGATGGGTTACGCGATTTCTTGGAGGAAACGGGGATGTCGTGTAAAGCACCCCAAGAAGGGAGCTCTTGAAGTTACCCTAGCTAAGGGTTGTCCACTTATTCCTAGGGATGTTGGGCTGCAGCTTCTGAAGGAGTATGAGGACTTGAAGGCTGGGGTTCCGGTTCTGAGTAGGGCCGAGGTTCAAGGTTTGAAGCAGGACCTGTCTTCTGAAGAGGCGAGGTTGTGGTTAAGACGCTGTTTAGCTCGGGGGGAGTCCAAGGGACTCTCTGATGTTGATCAACTGATTTTCCTCAGGGGGATGTTCCCCTATGTGCCTTTAAAGTGGCTCGCCGCGGCATGTGCTTCACCTGTGGATGGTGAAACTGTTGATTGGTCAGAGCTTCCCTGGAACCGAAGGCTTCGGCGGTCTGTTGACCGTGCCGAGGCTGGGTCAGTGATGTTGGCTATTGCGCCACATCTTTCTACCTGGAAGGGTTTAGGAAGGGTAGTGAAGATAGCCGATTCGGATAGGGGTTTAGGCTCGAGACTGGTCTTCAGGTTGTTGATGAGGTGGGCTGAGAGAGGTGTTATTGGGGGAATAGTAAAGGGGGCTAAAGGACATGAACAGGCTAAGGGCTCTTGCGTGCGGGATGAATGGACAGTTCTTGAAGGCTTCTCATCAGGGGTGTTGGAACAGGTGGACGGACAGGACATAGAGGGATTGGTGCGTACCTTGAGGTTTTTCCTTATCTTTGCGGTCGCTCAGGCTGCTAGAGAAAGGGGTGAACTGGAGGAGGGTTGCGCGTCTGAACTGGATCCAGTCCATGCGGTAAGTGAGGGTGCCCCTGAGGGTTGTGAAGATCCTGTGGAACTTGCCCGTTGGGCGTTGAGGAAAGCTGCAGCAGGGTTGCCTAAAGAAGGAAAGATGCTTCCGAAAAGCGAGGTGTTCATGGCCTGTGCTCCTCGATTGGGTCTCCCTGGGGAGGATAAGCTAAGCCCTTTGTCAAGATTTCTTCGGGTTTATGGGTTGCATGACGCAAGGTATGATCAGGGTTGTTTTGGAGCTTCGGGGGTTTACTCGTCTAGGTTGGTTACCTCTTCGTGGTTCCTTTATGAAGCCGTTCATGAAGTGCGAGCAGATGCTGAGAATACGGAGTGCCTACACATCATGCAGCGTCTATGCCCTGAGGGCATGGGTTTGAGTCAGTGTGGTTGGACTAGGCACCTGTTTAGTTGCATTCAAGGGGCTTGGACTCAATGGCTTCAGGAGCAAAGGGAACAAGCTGTAGTAATGGAGAGAAGGTTGTTCCTGAAGCGGTTGAGTGAAGCAGAACAGTATGATCTTCATGTTTCAAGGGATCACGTACCTTACCGTAAGGGTTGTCCGGTATGCATAGCAGCACAGGGTAGACAGAGAGCGCATTGGCGCAGTTCTTGCCCTGGCGTACATTCCCTCAGCGTGGACATCTCGGGGCCCTTTTTACCTGGTCAGTCCTATGATGTAGAAGCTAGCGGTCGGGACCGGGGTAAGGGGTATAGGTACTTTCTAGCAGCGGCCTATGCAGTCCCGGATAAGTTCAGCCTGAAGGATAAGGGGTTGGAGGATTGCGCTGATTATGTGCCGTCCGATTGTGAACAGGCGGGTGAAGAGAGCGATCCTCTGCCCTTTAGTGAAGTTGGAAATAAAGTTGGTGAGCGACTTATTCCAGCAGGAGTAGGGCTTGATGGGGAACTTGGTTCTTTGGACGAATTGTTGATGTTACCGAGCGATGACCAGGGCCTTGATTCCTTAGAGGAAGGTTTTTCTGAAGAGGGGTTGGGGGTTCGAGCGGTTACACGTAGGGTACGGGGTAAGCGGCCAGAAGACGGGGATGCGGAGGCGGAGCTTCCACTAGCGAAACCGAATCTAACCTTGTTTTTGGGAGTACCTTTGCGGACCAAGAAGGGCAAGGAGGTATTAGGCCAGGTTCAGGGTTTGGTCAATAGACTAGAATCAGCGGGGTTTCCAGTGCAGAGGTACCATGCGGACAGAGCCAAAGAACTTCGGTCGTCGGCTCTGATTAGCTGGTTAAAGAATGCCGGGATTCACTGTACCTGGACGGCCGGGGAGAGTCCGGCGGGCAACAGAGCCGAATTGGCGGTACAGTCGCTAAAGGGGTTTCTTCGGAAACTTCTTATGGTGGCAAAGCTGGGTAAAGAGTTTTGGCCTTTGGCCTTGATCCACGCGTCAACGCGCAACTGGATTGATTTTCTTGAAGCTGCAGGTGTGCCGCAACCGAGATTGTTGCCATTCGGAATCCGTATTCATGCGCGAAAGCGAGCTCGATCTGGGTACGCGGCTCAATGGGAACCGCGTACAATCCAAGGTGTTTATTTGGGCCATGCTCCCAGTACACCAGGTGGTCATCTGGTGCTGGTGGAGGATGATGGGGAAACTAAGGTTCTCTTAACAAATACTGTTTACCCGCTAAGAGGAGAAACTGGAGTGCCCCCTAAGCCCCGCTATAAACTCGTCGGTAAGCGCTCCCCAGACTTTGAAGTAAGGGTAGCAGCAGCTGCTGTGCTGGAGATTTTTGCAGGCGGTGGCACAGAGTCCAGGTGTGTACCTGGGGGGGAGTCACTTTCGGATTTCGTTGCGGATTTCGTTGCAGATTTCGATTCAGAGTGCAGTCGGGATGAGTCCGAAAATGGGGTTGATTTGGAGGCCAACGACCGATTGCAGGAGTGTCAAACTTTAGGTTCTGGGTTTCTGTCCGAAGACATAGAGGACCTGGGGTTCCAAGTACAAGGGCTCTCGACGGCTATTCCCGGAGGGAAAGAAGCAGAGGCTAGGTCTTTGTGGGGCCCAGGGGACTCTGGTAGGCAGAACCTGTTGACTCGAGATTGTCCCTCGGATTCGGACTGTTTCCAAGTGCTAGAAGGAGTCGTGTCGGCTTTGCCAGTGGTGAGGAGGTCTATGAATAATGGAGTAGGCCAGGCGATGGTGTTAGGACTCTATGGAGTTGGTGGATTCCACGGGGTTTCTAAGGCAGCCGAGGAGTTTCAGGATCTTACCAAGTTTCTTAACAGGTTTGTTAGGACCCTGGAGCCCGAACATCTTTGGACTACCCTCTATGTGTCTCGCAACACAAGAATGCCCCTGCACAGGGATCTACGAAACGCGAAGGGTTTTGATACCTTGGTTCGGGCCGTAGGCAATTTCTTAGGTGGCGGATTGTGGGTTGAGGGCGCAGATGGAAAAGGGGAAGTTGGGAAGGTGGTAAAGGGTGGGGTTAAGAGGTTTGGTAAGGTTCATGATGTATTGACAACCCATGTGGTGTTCTCCGGGGAACGCTGGCATGCGCCTGAAGATTGGGAGGGCAGTGTAAGATGGGTGATTTCAGCGTACACTCCCAGGGATTTTGCTAAGACTTCGGAAAGTGACTGGGAGAGGCTGAGGGTTTTGGGATTTCCGGTAGATGCAGTTCTTTCTAAGGCTAGAGATATGAGCTCAGTTGTGGGCTCTTTGGCAATCGAGGAAGAGAGTGGGTTTGTACCGGGTCCTATGAGTGTTCCGTTAGCAGCTGGGTCACCTGTCTCTTGGGAAGTTGGAATCCCTGTGCCTGTGATGAATGAAGAGTTGTTTGAAGACTTGGTAAGGTGGCATGCAAGTTCTCTTCGGCTGTGTAGGTTGTTGGAAGAAGATTTGAGCGACGAAGTGGGGACTAAAGGGGGGTTTGAGTGCGGGGCACGTCAGTTGCGTCAGGCTGAGCTGTTGACGGACTGGTTGGAGTCATGTCTCTGCGAAGGGGACTTGAGGATTCCAAATGAAGGAATCCTGAAATCCCTGCAGGTGGATGTGCCGTTGAACTCTGAGCCTCTTCCTTCCGATATGTTTCTACAAACGCGGACAGTTGGTTTAGCGGAAGCTAGGCGTGAGCTTAACTGTTGGAAGGAAGCGGCCCAAGAAGAGGTGACTAGTCTAGAAACCGTAAACCAAGCAGTAGACCGGGTCCAGGCCCACGAGGTAGAAGCTTGGGTAGCCCAAGGCATGACGGTAGTGCAATTGCCAGGTAAGGCTGTTTTAACTCGGAAGTCGGGTACAGGAAAGAGACGATTTAGGGCAGTCTGCTGTGGAAACCATTTGCCTACGGATAAGTTAGGGTTAACCCGGGAAGAGCTTTATGCCTCTGGTGCAGAGTCCCTTACGGTCAAGGTGGCCATCACATTTGCCGCTAGGCATCCTGAGTGGCGAGGAGTGACCATCGATGTTAAATCTGCCTTTCTTTATGCCCCTATTCGAAGCGACACTAAGGGCACCGAGGAGCGAATCGTAGTGAAACCACCGTTTCTCCTGGTTGAACTAGGTTTGTTAAACAAGGAGGATCGATGGTGGATCAGGAAGGCGCTTTACGGGTTGCCTACCTCCCCTAGAGATTGGGGACGGTACAGAGACGAGGAGTTTAAAAAGGTAAGGATGACCTGGCAAGCCCGGGAATTTCAGCTCATTCAAACAAAGTCAGACGATGCATTGTGGTTGTTAAGAGCCGTGGATGATGGGGTAATGGGCCCCGTCGAAGGGGTTCTCATTGTGTATGTGGATGATCTAGCGGTCTTCGCTCCAAAGGGCCTTGCGGAAGAGTTCATCAAGGCTATCCAATCGAGGTGGAAGACGTCCAGCCCCGAATGGTTGGGGGAAAAGGCTGTTACCTTCTGCGGGGTGGAGTTGGCGCGCTTTTCTACTGGATACAGGATGAGCCAGTGTGCCTACATTCGGGAGTTGCTCAACCGCTATAATGTGGAGGAGCGAGCTTCGGTACCTATCCTGAAATGGGTTGAACCTGAGCCTGAAGATCACCCGAACCTTGACGAAGTGAGGGAAGCTCAGGGCCTGACGGGGGCTTTACTGTGGGTCTCGACTCGGACGCGTCCAGACCTTGCCTACCTTGTTTCTCGGTGCGGACAGCAGGCAACGAAGGCCCCTCGATGGTCCATTTCTTTCGGGAAGCAGGCTTTGGCGTATCTAAGGGATACATTGGAGTGGGGCATTGATGTACCTTTTCTAGTGGGGAATCCTTTTGCTGAGCATGGCCTGTTGGCGCTTCCGCGTTCGGAAGGTGTGCTTGAGCTCTATACGGATGCATCGCATAGCCCCGGGGGAGATAGATCCATGCAGTCAGTTTTCGTCGTGTGGTGCGGAGTCCCCATCGCGTGGGAGGCCTCGAGACAACCGTTTACCACTCTTAGCTCAGCGGAATCGGAATTAGTCTGTATGGTTCACGGTGCCCAATTAACGGAGGCTATTCAGCCGTTGGTGGATGAGCTGACTGAGCAGGATACGGTTATCTCTCTTTTAGCAGACAACGAAGCTGCGATTAGAGCTTTTGACTCCACTTCGAGTGGATGGAGGAACCGCCACTTGAGGATGCGTGCGGTAGCAGGGAGAGAGCGGGTCGATGCTGGCTTGCTTCGTGTTACCCACCTCCCAGGGGAACACCAGGTCGCTGATATCGGGACTAAGCCATTGGCTAGGAGTAGACTGGTGCAGCTCTTAGGGTTGATAAATGTTCGGGCTGGGGGTGCCGGGTCTTGTAAGGAGGCCAGGGTCCTGAGTAGGCTTAGTCTCCCGAGCGACCTTCCCGATGGTTCCTCTGTAGAATTGCTTGCAGGCTTGGCCGTGTTGGCTGTACTGCCACAAGTGAAGGCGCAACCTGTAGGATCGCCGTTTGAGCAGGGTTCCCTTTGGACATGGTGGACTGTTGCGGCCATTGTGACAGGGGTCTGCTTGTTGTGGGGCCTGTGGCTTGTGCGATGTCAGGTTGGGATTGGACAAGTTGTTTCGGATCAGGGGAGTGAAAGTCCACCTTTCGGGGTAGTGGCTGGGGATGAAGATTTGGCAAGGGATTTGGCCGACGCGGTACAGGTTTTGGGCGAGGGAACTATGCAGCCTCCAGGTGAGCAGGTCCCAGAAATCCAACAGGGTTCTGATTCTAGCAGCGAAGTTTCCGAGTTATCTGAAGAGACCGGATGTGCTAGGGGTGAAGCGAAGTTGCGAGCTGAAGAGCTTCGCACGGGTCTCACCCTAGTCCAGAGGGCCCGAGTACGCAGGGCTATCGTTTCCGGTGGTGTGTTGGAGCCGCCGGTGTTTCAGCAGAGGTATGGGCCCCCGCCCGAGTGGCTAGGAGGTGTAAGTTCTCTTAGTGGCCCGGGTGAGAGTTTGGGTTTCGATCAGGAGAATGTGGGGGTTCAGCTAGGGGGGAGTGCTTCTAGCTCGAGCGCTCATGTCTACAGGGACCCGAGTGTTCCAAGTTCCAGTAGCCATGTCCCGGAGGATCTGAGTGTTCCTAGCTTCAGTAATCAGGTCCCAGAGAACCTGAGTGTTCCTAGCTCCAGTAACCATGTCCCAGAGGATCCGAGTGTTCCAAGCTCCAGTGGTCATGTTCCTGAGGAATTGACTGTTGGTGGCCCTAGTTCAGCTAGTCATGGGATGTTTGGACAGGATTGGGGGTGCTACGAGGACTGCTTTGAACCCTTCATGAATCGATTTCCGATGGTGGGGGCTTGGTGTCCAGTGCACTTCTTGGTTCAGTTGCTGTCGTTGGAAGGGTACCGTATTTTGTGGTTTCTAGGAGAGGGGTCTCAAGAGTGGTTAAGGATTAGGGCGATTTCGGTGCACCTTAGGTATGCTTTAGTGGGAGCTTTGGCTGAGGTGTGGAGGCAAGGTCCCCACGCCTACATGTTTCAAGGGCCCCAATGGCAGGCATCTGTGGAGGATCACTTGTGCGTCCGTGTTGCAGTCAGACAGGCAGAAAGGAGCAGGGAAACTGAAGAATTGCCGGTAAGTACCTTTCCGTATGTACCATTCCCGCCACCGTTTGCAGTCCACTATCTTTGGAGACTGTTTTCATTAAATGGAGCACTGCTGCTGTCAATGTTGGGCGTGAGAGTAGCCTCTTGGGCTAGGCTAAGGGAGGTTGCTAGGGGATTTCGAAGCAGCGTAGTGCTGGCCTTGGTAGTGTGGTTGAGGAATACTGGTCCTTATCATTTGGCAGATGGCACTGTGACGTTTGATGCTGCATACGCGTATATGCAAACCGGGAGACGGAATTTCCCGTTTGAAGAAGGGGAGGATGAAGAGATAGATGAGAGGCCACATAGGGTTCCTCCTCCTGAGCCCTGGGTTCCGAGGCCTCGTTCTGAGTCTTCCTCTAGCGGTAGTCGAAGCACATCAACGACCGACCCTTCTTCAAGTGAGACAGTCAGCTCTGAGTGTCAGCCTGTGTTATGGGAGGACGAGGGCGAAGTGGAGGAAGGGAATGGATTGGAAGTCGTTTTGGGTGTTCCGGGTTTGCAGTACGAGGCGGAAGAAGGTTGTTTGGTAGTGGTCTACGGTGATGACCGGTTGAGGGTTCCTTTAGAGGGATGGTCGACTGAGGCCGTTCAGACTGTTGTCCAAGGGCTAGAAACCGGATTGTGGCCAGATTGGGGTGAAGCCTTGAGGGATTTGGGCATTGGAGCCGAGCTGGGACCTGGGCGTCCCACTGATAGGGTGACTCCGAGCAGCTTTGCAGGTGGCCAGGTAAGTCCGAATTGGGCGTTCTGGGTAAGGGTGCTTCTGATGTTTTGGTGTTGGTTTGGGATTGTAAAGGGGGCTGATGCTTCTGTTGGGTTGATTGAAGTCCCTCCTGAGGCCACCAATGGGGAATGCTTCGCACAAAGTCTTCAGGTTCGCTCAGATTCCGGGGTTGCACTCGCGCATTGGGAAGAGGTCAGCTGTGATGGCTCGGTACTATGGGAGGTGTTTAAGATCGGTTTGGCAGTAGGGTCCTGGGAAATCTGTCGTACTCTCTTCGCAAAGTGTGGGAAGAGTACTCTTCGTAGACAGGATGTTGCTTGTCAGACAAGGCGGGATGGCATCATAGAGATGCCGTTACCTCCCGGAGTGCCCAAAAGAGGACGGATCCTGTTCTGTCTTTGGCGAGCAGGATATATGGTAGATGCTGAACTTTATCCTGAAGGGGTGCGAAGGGAACTAGAGTGGTTGATAGGCGATTATTTGAAGCGTATCGCTGACGGTGAGGGGGTTTCTAGTTCGAGTAGCGGCTCTTCGGGATAAGGCTCGAAGGAAAATCCTTAGAAGGATTTAGCGGCTCATGGTCTTTACGAGCTGACAGCCTTGTGAAGATGAACTCGACCGGAGGGGGTGGTGATGTTTGGACGGTGACCCTAGCTTTTAGAACCTGTTTCAGCTAAGTCGAATAGGTTTTGGGTCATAGGTTCGATACCACACTCCCCTGTAGAGTCGAGGTATAGGGAACGCTGAAGGCTCGAGCTGAACTAACTCCAAAGGAGTTACCCTACGACGCACAGAGGTAGGGGTGCGGAATGGAGCCCAGTTTTTGTTCCAACTTTGCTTTTGGAAGGTGATGATAAGACATGCTTCGCTAGGCTAAGAAAGTATTCTGTATCGGGGTGTTTTCCATGGAAAGCCTTTTCACCCAAGCCTTGGAGGCCTGGGTGAGGGGGAGTGCGTGAACTTAGGCCCTGGATGGAAGATCTGTGTCTCGGAGCATGTTACTCACCTCGGGATCCGGAAGGCTGTTTTGGCTGTACGTTAAAAAAGGAGTTGCGCTGACTGGCATCGGCCAGTTCCGGACTGCATTCAGCTGTTAGGTTGGGTTAAGTCCTTAAGGTTATCCGTTCTCTTGTTATTTATTCCACATACTAAGCCCTAAATCCTAAGTTGAAGAGAACTACAGGCCTGAGCTTCAAGGCCTCAACCGAAACTGATCCACTGAACCGTACACAGTCAGATGGGTAGTTCTCTAAACTAGGGTCCTTTTAGGGTTTAGGATTTAGGGTTTCGGGTTTAGGATTAAGGTGTAGGGTTTAGGGTTTAGGCTTTTTTGGGGTTGGGGCTCCAGTGCTGGCTTTAAAACCTTGCTTTCCATTTTCGGGGGCGGCTTAGGGGGTTCAAGGTGCACAAAGACACACAAATTTCCGTTTGTTCCATTCTTTTTTTTGGCCCCCTTTAAGGGTTCAGACTTTAGCAGGTGTTACCTGTAGGGTTTAGGTAGATTTGGGGTAAGAGCTATGGACTGCAGTGGAGGGCCCAGTGGTTACAGGCTCCAGCTCTTGGCAAACTAACTACGGGTTTAGGGTTTAGGGTTTACAAGCCCTTAATACCAGCGCTGCACCCCTCTGTTTGCCCGCGCCTAAGACCAACATAAATGGTGCTTTGACTAACCGTCTTTCGGTGCGCGTGGATGTGCACCGGGCGGACATGTGTATGCTTGCTGACATGGTTTCACTCCTTGTGGACGTGGGGCGCTGGGTCGACCCGGATTCGCTGATGCACCTTTACTGTGCAAAATAATCGGCGTTTCGAAGTTGTGGATTACTCCGGGATGCGCTCGCAAGGAGACAGGGCTGCAGGAAATAGGATGTGGGAGACGGCAGCGGCAGCGCTTGTGTTTAGTGAAGGAGTTTTGTAAATTGGTTTGCAAGGTGGGTTTATTTAGGGCGTGGAGTTCGGGGCAACTTGATTTTGAGGATTGTGGCTTTCATGCCTGTGGCGAACAGTGTTAGCAAGATCGGTGACTCTGACTTGTTTTTTTCACTTACAACCAAATTTCAAAGATGATCTTACCTATGACGATGAAGCAGAGGCTACATCCCAAACCCTACACCCCAAACCCTAAACGCTAAACGTGCCTCGCCTGAAAGGAGCTGCTGCCATCGTCCGGGCCGTAGATGGGGGATGGTTTTAGGTGGTCTTGCGTAAGTTTGACCTTTGTGGCGTAGCGCGGCTGAGGGTTGAAGGTTCAGGGTGTAGGGTTGGTTGAACTCTTCTCCTCCCGATCTCCTCCTCCTCCTCCTCCCGACCTCCCGACCACCTCCTACTACTAGTCACGGCTACTGGTGCTACTACTACTCCGACTACGACGACAACTACTTCCACCACTCCTCCTAAGACTTTAGCATGTTACATAGTCGGGAACTACGGAGTTCCGGCTGTGGGGTTTTGTGGTTTCAGGTTTGAGGGTGTTCAGGGTTCACAGTCCCAGGGTTTAGGGTCTAGGGTTTGGGTTTAGGGTTTGGGGTTTAGGGCTTGGGGCCGTAAACAGCATGAACGTGGAACCTAGTGTCCTACAACGCATCCCGCGTCGTATCGGCCCACGAACCAGATTAGGGTTTACAGTAGGGTGTAGGGCTGGGGGTAATCAAGCCTCCTGATAGTCATGGACAAGTTCCGAGTCTTCGATACAGCGACACCCCAAACCCCTTATCTCTAAGCTCAAACTCCAAACCCTAAACTTCCTAAAAATCGAACCGGACCACACACCAGACGTACCTCACAGTTTAGGTAGCGAGGTTGGGTCCGCGGTCAGCTTCATCCCAACCCCCAAGTCCTAAACTCTTCGGGTTCAGGGTCTGGGGTTTAGGGATTGTCATATAGTCCTTACATCGACCTCGAAACCTAAACCCACAGCAAAGCCCTAAACCCTAAACCCTAACAAAAACCATAAGGGCCGAATCCAGGCGGCAGGTCCGGGCGTCCCCTCCCCCTGTCTACCGAGGTGGTGTCCAACCACGGAGGACGTGGCCTCAGCCACGCACAGGGTTTGGGGTTTAGGGTCTGGGTTTAGGGTTTATAGGCTCCGGGTGTAAGTTTTGAGTTTTGGGGCTCAGGGCTTAGGGTAGACATGGTTGAACTCCAGGTAGAAGCGTTGAGTCCTGCTAGTAACCAGTCCGAGGCTGATCGCTCCACGAGGTTACAATAGAGGTCCACTACAAGATAGGCCAGGCAGAACAGCGGACGGGTATAGTAGCAGCAACTTAGTTAGTTGGGAATTGCGCACCATGAATAAGCAAACCAGCAGCCATGCATCACCGGGAATGCGTAGGTCCGTCTGGCGAAAGGATGAGTTGTACTCAGTAGTACTAGTGTTAGTTCTGCAAGCCGAAGCACGTGCCGCAGGCCGACAGCTAGACTCCGTCCCGGCCACGATCGATGTGCTGCCCGCTATTGCTGAGGAAGTCCGGGGGCAGGCGCTGTCGGTGTTTTGCGTTTTCGGGTTTAGCGTTTAGGGTTTGCTTAGGCGGAAGTCGCGAATCGGCTTTCGACCGAGGGGGATTTCGGATTGGGTACCTCTGTTTAAACCCCAAACCCTAAACCCCAAACCCTGAACCCCAAACCCTAAACCTAAACCCTAAACCTAAAGCCTAAACCCCAAACCCTAAACCCCAAACCCTAAGCCCGAAGCCCTCAAGCCCAAACAGATACCCATCTTCATCGACGGCGGGATTCGGCGCGGTACCGACATCTTCAAGGCTGTTGGGCCTCTTGGCTCGGGAAGATGGCCCTTTTTAAATAGAACCAGCCCGAAGAGCAAGCCCTAAACCCTAAACCCTAAGCCCTAAACCCTAAGGGCTTAAGATTCAGGGTTTGGGGCTCAAGATGAAGGGTTTGGGGCTTAAGATCTTGGGTTTAGGGTGTAAGATTTCGGGTTTAGGGTTTAGAGAGCTTGAAAAATTAGTAGTGTTATTTCGGGGGTGCCTTATCATATTTCTAGCGAAAGACCCTCAAACCCTGTTCTAATTGTTTTAAGGTTTAGGTCAAGGGTTAAGGGTTGAGGGCTTTGGGTTTAAGGGTCCTTGTTAAGGAATTTGGTAAAAAGTTACAACAATGAAGAAGCCATGTTTGTTTTATATAGACCCCGGATGTAACATATAAAATAGATTCCTTCCGGAAAAACTTTGCAACGCTAACAAATCCCAGTGCTCCTCACTTTACTTGTTGTAGATAGTACATTGCACCCCAAACCCTATTCTAATCAAGAAGGCTTTATGCAAGTATCATCATGAACCAGCGATACTTGAAGTGATGGCATTGGTCATGTCGATGTCGTTGACGATCGGCTCGATGCCTGCGTTTATGCGAATAAGTAGCAAATTTCATGTCCAAATACCGGCATACCGCATACACGGCAAACGGTTTTAGGGTTTAGGGTCATGGGGGCAGGCTCGGCCGGGAATAGTTGCGACAGCTGCGCAGCTAAGATGGAGATTCAAACAGAATGTGATGAGAAACCGATAAGAAAAAGCTCGAACATCAGGATGGTACTAGGCAAGAGCTGATGGTGTAAAGGCTGATGCTTGCAGCGATTATCATGATAGTTTTGGTTGTACCGTGGATAGTGTAACTATCAACAACCGTTCATACAACCATCATCAGCCCTATGGCCTGTTGCTACTGGTAGTCGTCGTCGTCGACTGCCTCGTGCCATATGACGGGACAGGCAACTGTACTTGTCCCAAACCCTTGATGCCGGAAACACACACTCAAATCTGACGCATCGACCCCGACTTCTGCACCGGCAAGCTCTGAACCTGTGGATCCCGACCGGCGAGAGCGTGAACACTCTTTTCCCCCAAGCCACGATACCCAGAAACCGCAATATCGTGAAGACCCGAAGTAAAGACCATTGTAATAGAAGGGTCTTAATGATTAGAATAGGGTTTGGGGTATATTATACTATAAGTATAATAACGAGCCCCCGAAAACCCTATTCTAATCAATAAGGCCCCTACACTATGCTGAGAAGCGCCAAGCAATCTCGAGTTTGAGACCCTAATCCCCAAGCCCCTCGCAACGCACTAAATCCGAGACCCTCAAGTCAAGACCCAAAGCCCAGAAGCGTAACCCCCGAACCCTAAATCCATAAACCCTGAAACCCGAAGCTTCCTAGGTACTATTAGGGAAACCCCCTCAAGGGGACCCTTCTTACCCTACTTATGGCTCTCTGGCAAAGGACCTTATTCAGAGGGTCTATATTTTCAAGGGTACCCCTAAACCTAAACCCTAAACCCTAAACCCTAAACCCTAAACCCTAAACCCTAAACCCTAAACCCTAAACCCTAAACCCTAAACCCTAAACCCTAAACCCTAAACCCAACTCCCAAAGCTGCCGAAGGCCCAAAGTTCAAAGCCCCAGCTCTCGAAGCCGAGGCTCGGTGCGAGCGCAGTCATGTTCGCCCGCCGGAGCCACAGACCTGTTGTAGAGGGTTTAGGGTTTAGGGTTTAGGGTTTAGGGTTTAGGGCTCACAATTGCTTTATGTTGCTTTAGAGCGATTTCATATGAGATTTTATAGGATTTCATGGTTGCTTCAATGCATTGGTTCGGGTTGCCTTACTTGGACATCCCACTATCTAGGACGGGGTTGCTTCTGTGCTGGTATGTGTATGTATGCATGATACACACACACACACAAACATATCATGAATGAACAATTAAAAAGCAATAATGCACGTGAGTAAGTCGACATGCTTATCAGCGTTTATGTACCGAAGCCACTCATCCGCCCTCCCCTCTTTCACTAGCTCTCTATATCTATAGTGTGCATATCTCTATTGTATGCACATCTGTATCTTTATGCTGCCGTTGATGGTGATGATGATGAAGCAGGCCGGCACTGTACTCACAAATCAAACCTGTGCGTCAGAGGAGGGAAGGGGCTTTCTGACTGCTTTGGCTCCTGCCAACTAAGATGTAATGTAGGGGCCTGAAGAAAGAGTAATGGCATCCACGTACAGTCCTTATAGAATTCTACTATCCCGCCTCTAGAAACATGTTCTTATAGAATTCTACTATCCCCCTCTAGAAACATGTTCTACTGAACTGAGGCCCATAGTTTACGTGCAGAATCACTTGTCTTGCGAAAGCCGCAATGCTAAGATGACCCGAGCCGGAGTGCCAAAGCAATCCAAGGCCGCAGCGGTAGACCCTAAGGGTTTAGGGTCGCCACACAAACATTAAAAGGTTAGAAGTGTGGGCCCCTAATATGGACCCTTGGGCCTTTCTAGGGACCCTTAAGGGTATATAGTAGGTGTATAAGGATCCCAGGGTTAAGGCCCACACTAGAGGCCCATGGTTTCAACCTTAGAAAGATTCGGGTTAGGGGTTGAGGGTATCCCCATAATCATTCGACGATGAAGATGCCAACCCCGTGCCCTCAGCCTGCGATCTAACTGATGCGCTTAAACCCTAAAGCCTAAACCCTGATCCTCACCACCTCCTAAACCCTAGGCCGTAGCCCTGAACCCTGAGCTCTAGATGCTTCCTTGCAAGACAGGAACCCTAAAGCCTAAACCTTATACCCTAAACCCCTAAATCCCTAAACCCTGAACCCCCAAAACCCTAAAATCCTAAACCCCTAAGCCCCTAAGCCCTAAACCCCCTAACCCCTGAACGCGTAAACCTTAACCCCGTAAAAATCCTGAACCCTCTAACCGCTGCCGGACGCGCACCAGTACCGCCCCGAGGTCCTGCCGTGTATGCCCTGGCTGTCGGGGGCGAGCAGGGCGTTTCCCGAACCTTGCCTCCAGAGGTTTTCCACAAGGTTGTGTTTTAGGGCGAAAAAATAGGCTTTCCACCAGGTTTGCTAAGCCCTAAACCCTCAACCCTGGAGCCTTCTTTGGTTTGCTACTGTTGTTGTAATCGCTTTAATGATTAGAACAGGGTTTTGGGGCCCAGTATACTTTAGTTATAATAAGGAACCCCCCCAAAATAGTATCGGTAATTATTTAGGCCCCTCCATTAAAGCCTGAACCGGTTATGGTCTGCTTTAGAGTTTGGGTTTGGAGGCCACGCGGAGTGTTGATGGACAAGTTCCTGCATTACCCCAAGTACCCTAAGCTCACCCTAAGCCCTAAACCCTAAACCCCTAAACCCTAAACGCGGATCAAGCCCTAAACAATAGACCCTTGTGTTGCCCATCACCTTCGGACCGCATGCCCTAAACCCTGTGGGGCGGGTTTCCTCTCGGAATTCGGGCGCTCGCCTGAATCCTACGGTTTTAGGGTCTAGGGGTTTCGGGTTTCGGGGCTGAGAGATTAAGGGTTTAGGGGTTCAGGGTGGGTTAGGATTCTACGTGTATTATAGAACCGTTATCCCCAAGGCGGGGCGGCCGATTGGTTTGTAGATCGTTGGGTTTAGGGTTCAGGGTTCTCAAGGCCGGCGACAGCCGATGGAACAGTCACGAGCCGTAAGCCCTAAATCCTACATGCCCTAAACCCTGAATCCAAACCCTAAACCCTTAACCCTAGACCCTAAACCCTAAACCCTAAACCCTAAATCCTACACACCCTAAACCCGAAGCCGAAGGCCTCACTTCCTACATACCCTAAACTTCCCTAAACCCTGAACTAGATCCTATACACCCATACCCCAAGCCCTGAATCATAATTTCTATACACCCTAAACCCGAAGCCCGAAAGCCGAAGCCCCAATCGAAGCCTGCGCCGCGTCCCACCCTAAGCCCTACACCCTGTACGCCCCAAACCCGAAACCCTGAGCCCCAAAGAGCTATCAAGTGATCCCCATGAGCTCAGGAATGATGCGTCTGCTGTATGATGAAATGGAAACCACGATGAAGTCGCTTGGTCTTGAGTAGGGAACATAGGGTGTCTGATCCTCCCTTCGAGCTCTAAACCCCCTGAACTGAGTGTCCCAGTCTCAATGAGAAGTATCCTAAACCCTAAACCCTAAACCATATAGGTGGGGCGAAGCTCGAAACTCCAGAAATTCGCACAGTGGAATTTCGGTACATTGTTGGGGCTTAGAGGTAGAGGTTCGGGTTCAGGGTTTACGGGAATATTGTAAGGGTTCTGCAGCTTTGTTCATTTGTAGCGGGTTCATACAGTGATGCGTGGGTCTCGCGTTACAAGTCGATAATTTTTAGGGTTCAGGCTTCAGGGTTTAGGGTTTAGGGTTTAAGGTTTAGGGTTCTTGGTGCAGCTATCTGGGGCTCGCCTGACCCCTGGGGTGGTCGAGATCTCAACCCTACAATCCTTGATCTGTCCTTCGACACTCCTCTCGATGAGCCCGAGAGACCCTACATCTGCAAGACTGTTTAGGGCTTAGGGTTTTAGGGTTTAGGGTTTAGGGTTGAGGATATATATATATATATATTTCTCTCTCTCTCTCTCTCTGTCTGAGTTCATTCGTTGAATATGGTTTTTGCTGTGTTTTGTTGCCAAATTTAATGGAGAAATCGCAAAATACGACAAAGATATCGGCATGTTCAACGAAGGCAGGCGCTTCGTTGAATCTGGCGATTTCTGCGTTGACCATGGTGTTTATTTTCTTTACCAAATTCCACGAAGAAATCGCCACATTAAGCGAAGGCCGGCCCTGCATTGCATATGGCGAGTTCTTGGTTGAATATGTCGAACCTTCGTTGACAATGGCGATTTCTTCGTTGAATATGGCGATTGGTTTTCGCCAATTTCGACGAAGAACTCGCCTTTCCACATAATATGGAAATCTTGGGTGGGTGGGATGATTTCCGGAGTTGAGCTCGGCTAGAAGCTGCTCGATCCGGAGTTGCTGAACCCTAAACCCTACACCCTGAGCCCTAAACCTGTAAAACCCTAAACCTTAAACCCTAATCCTTGCCAGAGATGACTAGTTTGAAAAGGCACGACCTCAAAGAGCTTTGCGGTTGAGGGTTCGTTTGGTGATTTATGGGGGTTTTGTGTATGGGGTGTAGGGTGGGTTGGGATCGTGCGGGGCTCCAAGACGCTCGTTTTAAGCCAACATAATTTAGGGGCCCAAAAAATTACCTAGACTATTTTGGGTGTTCCTTATTTTAATTATACTATGCAGGGCCCCAAAACCCTACTCTAATTGTTAAAACCCCTACGTTAATTCATCAGAATCTACCATGCCCGGGCTTCCGGGGGGACGAAAAACAGCACGGAGCAGAAGCCTGAAACTACCAACAACACTTTCCCCCTATACAGTGTATATATACAGTCCCCGTAGAATGCTTCATGATACGATGACTCATGATGCGATGATATGCCCCAAAACCCTATCCTAGCTTTTCAGTCCCTCAGCCCCCCGCACGACTTAAACCCCAAATGGGTTTAATATAGAACCCTTTTGGAGCCTACACCCTGAACCCCAAACCCTGACCCCTGAGCCCTCGAAAATCCTCCAAAGCATACGCACCACATTTATTCTGGGTCCTTGTGCAGGAGCCTCATCATGCGGGTTCCACGAAAGGGACCCCTCCTCCAAGACAAAACCCTGACGAACACACCCTAAACCCTAAACCCTAAACCCCCTAAACCCTATCTATTTTGATTTTGGGCCCTTGGATGATAGGGTGCCATCTTCGGATTTGGGATCCAAAGAGCATAATTCGCATTACCGGAAGCATGGGTCAGAATCCTGAGCAGCCTCCAATATAGAAGGCCAAAAATAATTACCAATATTATTTTAGGGGTTCCTTCTTATAACGATAGTATAAATGACACCAAAACCCTGTTCTAATCATCAAGGCCTCTAATATAGAACCGTATCATAGATCCCTTCTAGAACCCTTTAAGGATAATTATAGTAGAATATACACCAAAACACCCTATTCTAATCGTTAAGGCCCCTACATTAGCGCGGAAGCTGCTGAGGCTGGCCGGCTGCACCAACCTTTCACAAATCCGGTGGCCCAGCCCGCATGGAACGGGCGCTGCAACGTTTTCTACAGGGCTTAGTGTGTTAGGATTCATACTTGAAGGATCATGGGACTTAGTAAGTGGGGTTATAACTAAGGTAACTGTAGTCATAACCCCAGTTAGGGGACTTATAATCTTACTTACTAAGTCCCATGATCCTCCAAGTAAGCTTACAGGGTCACTGTGGCAGTTTAGGGTTTAGGGTTTAGGGTTTACCATACGGTTAAGCATATGCATCCCAAAATCGGGTTTCGGCGATTGTTGGCGCGTGTTGTTATCGTTCGCCTGGGTTCTTGTCAAGAAACTTGGTTGCAACTGCCAGCATATGCGACGAACAGCAAAAACGAGTTGCCGTAAGCAGAAGGCACACTCATTAAACTCTAAACCCTAAGCCCTACACTCATGTACACCCTAAACCCCAAACCCTAAACCCTAAACCCTAAACCCTAGACCCTACACTCATGTACTACACAGTCCAAAACCCAATCGTGAGCAGCTCGGATCCAGGAGAAGTGAGGCTTGGTCACCCGGTGTTAAGGTCAGGGTTGCAAGGATTTAGGGTTCTGGGTTGTGGGTTAGGTTGTAGGGTTTTGAGGTTTGTGGTATGGGGGTATTTTGGGTGACCCTAAACCATAAGCCATAAGCCCTAAACCCCTAAACCGTTACCGTTTCGGGCCTTGGGGTATAGGGTTCTAGGATATGGGGTATGTTTTTTTTTGGCTGTCGGGTCTTGCGGTCTAGATGTGACTCGTTCTGGTCTCAATACTGGTCGTGCCACTTTGATGTGTATTTGAATCCACTGTTGATCTACATTTTGCAAGGATTCTCCCGCGTTGGGTTAAGTTTTGGAGTGGTGGTGGTGGTTAGTCAGGTCTGTTCTCATGATGCAGATGACTATTAGTAAACAGCATGCACGCCCAAAGGCACAACCAGCAAGCAACAACGACCGAGAACAGAGACCCAAAAACAAGAAGCACCATAACCCAAGCGCAGCAGTCGAAATCCTAAACGCGAAAAGGCGCAACCACC